AGACAGAGGCAGAAGGCGAAACGACAAGCTACGGTCTCGCGGTTGGCTCGAGCGAGAGGGCGCATGGCCTTGGCCGCTGCTGCGGGGTAATTCAGTCAAGGTTTCGGCCGATGAACTTCCTCCGACGGGAGGAAGGAGAGCCGGCCGGTAGAGGTCCGACGTCGTTGGTGGGGGTACGGGACGACCAATCGGAGCGGCACGCGGCCCAGCGAGCCGGCTCGTGATTGGCCGGGCCCGCGTACGCCAGTGCCCGGGCCCGCAGCCGGTTGTCAGTGACCTCCAGCATTGAAAATACGATGAACTCTCTCGGGGGGCTCTTGTGAGAGCACACCGGTGCACTGTGTGTCCTCTACTACATACTAGGTAGCCAGGGCGTAGACATTGTAGATGGTCGAGGTGGCCTGGCGAGCCAGGCAAGCCAACATCAATCCCTCCCCTCCACCGGGCCGCGTTCGGTGCCGAGTAAGGGCTGCACGGCCCCCAGGTAACCAACACTCGGCAGCGCCGAACTCCAGTCAGACCAACGCGAACCTCCCTCGAGCGAACACTTACTTTCACTCTCTCTTCTGCCTCTTCCATCCGCGGCGGCGGCAACAGCGAGCAACAGCAGCAGCACCAGCACCACCAGCCAGCATCGCCGCCAATATCATCACGTACGCGCGCGAATTTTTCGCGCACGCCACCGTCCACAGATAACACGCGACAACGGACGGTTTCGCGTCTCCGTTTCCTTCCTCCCGCGTCTCTCGCTCTTTCTCACTCTTTCTCCTCTCCGTCCACCTTCCTCCGGTTATAACACCGAGCCGGTGTCCGCACGCCGCCACAGAACGCACCTGCCCTTCGACTCGGCTAGGTACCTGCACCTGTGGTGCCACACACACGAGAAGATCCAGTTCAGTGATACGCGGCGGAATCGATCCGGGAATTTGTACGGTACACGCGCGAATTCGATTTGGTGTCTACGGGAAAAGTTCATCATCCAAGAAACTGAACGCGGGGATGTTAGCCGATCGCGATGAGAGGCCCCAGTGAGTTAGCAGTGATTATTTGAGTCAGTGATTTTGCTACCGCGGGAACACTGTGGACTAAATGTCGGTGATCAGCTCAGTGCAGTGCCGTGACCAGTGGATGCTTGATCCTGGAAGAAGAACGTAGAGGGTTCCTGTTTTAGTCTTTACACACACGGGACGCGGACTATCAGCGAGGATGATACTGACGCCGGACAGCAGCGCGCAGGCAGCCGCGGCAACGTCGCCCGCGCCTGAATCGCCGATCTCCAGCATCTCGTCCCACGGTTCGCGAGCGTCCAGCGTGTCGCGCATGTCCTGTGTCTCTCAGGGCATGCCCAGCGCTTATCACGTGGCCCAGTTGCCCCATCACATCAGCCCTAACATGCCCACCATGGATTCCACCGTATCCTCCGCGAAACCTGAGCCTGAATTGAACATAGGTACGGATCGGGTGTCAATTTTCATTTGTTTCTTTAGCTTCAAGAGGATCCTGCGAATCTTTCTTGTTCCCTTTTCTATCAGTCGAGAAAATTAGTCGTTCGTCCACCGAATGTTTCTGTTTCTCTCACGAGTACTACACGGAGTAGAGAAACTGCGGTCGAGTTCTCGGCCGAGAGATCTGTCTGTTCGGCTGTTCGGCGAACAGAAAAAGGATCGCGCGCCGTGACAGGCCGAGTGAAAGCAGAAAGTTGTAACACAGCGATGCTGTAACTCGCCCTCGAGAGAGGAGAAAGTGTTCTTCTTTCTCTCCCACCTTTCTCTCGCGGGACCGGGCGGGCGCGCGCGCGAGAACCAGCGAGCCCGCTTTACGGGCCCCACGTGGATCGCCGCGGCGGGGCACACACGCGTCGCGCGACACCATCGCGTCAACGTGTCAGAGTGTTAATGGACGGTTGTCAATGTTTCTCTTCTGTTTCGTTGCAGAATTCGATGGGACCACGGTGTTATGCCGCGTATGCGGGGACAAGGCGTCCGGTTTTCACTATGGAGTGCACTCGTGCGAGGGATGTAAGGTGAGTCGATCTTTCGATACTATACGACCGATTCCGATCAGCGATTTTTTTTTGGATCTTTGTTCTCTGTGTTCGATTCTGCTATGCGGTTTCGTGGATGGAAACACTTTTTGCAATTACTAGATTATTTATTGTTTACATATTTTTGTAGATTCAAGAATTTTGCGATCGGAATCGGTTTTCATTTGAGCTGTACGACATTTTCGATGATTCTTCCTCGCCTCGATTTTCCGGGAAACCAAATAATCGACCGGTCGACGAAAAATATCGAATATGTCAAATACGTGACGCCATGTGGCCAGGAAGTGAACGGAGCTTGAATGTGAATGTACGATGCGATCAAGGCTGCGAAGAAGCTATCGACCGAGCTCCGGCTCGACCTTGTGCACGCGGAAATCGCGAGACGTTTACGCCGATCCTTGACGTTGCCTCCTCGACTGGCTAGGCGGACGAAAAATCTTCTCAAGGCTCCTTTTCTTCGGTCGAGTGAAGTCGTTGAAATTCCTCTCAAGGATCAAAAATCACCGGAGCGTATTTAGGGGATTCTTAAACTGTCAGGGATATTGGTATTCTATATTTCTGCAAATCGATACTTTGAATAATTCTCTTTCCAACCGTGAAAATTGGTTTCATTTATTAGCGGAAAATAATAAAATCTTTCTCCCTAAAATAACGATGATTATTTTCTTATTAATATATAAAATACATTAGTGGCATCTGCACGTCAAACGTCAACAGGAAATTTTTCGGAGTTTGCAAAAAAGTAAATATTAGAAATGAAATTGCATTGTCATCAAAATTTGCATTTCGCTAATTTTATCGGCACTTGTCGACAAACATCTTCACTAATTCAAACATTGCAGAAAAAACATTTTGCAGTTTAAACTGTTTCGATTCAAAATTACAAAATTTTTGACGTGAACTGTTGGGATACAGGGATAGGAACTATCGAGGGAACCTACCGGAAACGTTGAAAAATGTCCGATGGACGGAGACACGCGGTCACGGGGTATTTTTCGTGGAAAATGGGGTCGAGCTGGGGAACAATAGCGTTCGCGGGCGGTTACGCAAGGGGAGCGTGAAATGTGGCGAAATTCTTTGAGGACCGATAACCTTCGGCCGTTTGGGAAAACGCGTGAGAAGGGACTGGACAGGTAGCAGAGACTCCCTGGACCTACGGGGAACGCTTTTGTGTCACGGTGGTTTTCATGTGGCCGAGTTTCGGAAAATCGTTGGGCCCCAGGGGATTCGTCTAGACGATTTCCTGTTCAGCTTCCTTTTCTGTCCTGTCTCCTAAATCACGGTCTTCCTGCTGTTAAATGATCTTCCCCGTCAAATATAAAATGTTTTCCAGTTTCAATTAACACATAAAAAATTCAGGGATTCGTTGAAAAAACGGCGCAAAAGGGAATAATGTATGTTGTCGATCGGTGACTGCGAAAGAGATCTCTCCTCCCGGCGAAACCTCAAATCGAATGTAAATCGTTTACCTCGAGACTGATAATTACATCCCGCGAAGGCCAACGTCCTCGTGATCGTCATTGTGCGACTTCAAGGAGGCGCACGGGTGGGGGCAGCACAACTCGCGAATATCGTTTTAGGAAGTGGTAGAACGCTGCCACCACCTCCACCGCTTTGCCACCACCACGGCGCACTTTCGTGACGGCGGTGGGGATGGCTTTGCCAGGTGTGTTAATCGGTGACTCGCAGCACTCAGATCTTGTTCGTGCGTCGACCCGATGACTTCGAGCGCTACCCTCCGCGACGCAAGCGTCCCCCCGCCGGGTATTCACCCAACAAAATTTCTTACAATCATAAAATTCCTCGTGGCTGATAAAAGAATCAAACTCTTACGAATCTAGGTTACGATTGATCAATTTGTTTGTACTTTTCCTTCTTTCCAGTTTTATTCGGTATATTTTAAAGACAATTTCCTGCAGAGTCATCGTAGAATAGAGATACCCCTATTTCCAAGCAGTATCCATCTTTTATGCTTTGAGGGATTGTTGGGTCAAAAGAAAGAGAAAGTGGACCAGCGGGGACCCGAAAAGCCAAAGAGATGATCGCTGGCTGACCACGGGAAAGAGAAAGTGTCTCGGTTTTCTGGTGTCGTAGTTTAATCCTCTCCGACTCGGGTTGCTCCCCATTGTTGTCCCCGGAAAGAGAACGAGATTAGGGACGGTTTGTGGCAGATAGCGTTCGCAGGATGCCGGTTTTTTTTCCGTCTGGCTTCCCCCACTCGAGGGGACACACGAAACGAGGGACCGAGCCCGGGGCTGGTTGACTGGGTCAGTAACTTATGGCGGCGCGGCGGGCCGCGGAGTAGTCGTCGAGTGACCTAGCCGCTAGCGGTAGAGACCGTCTTATGGGCACTGGAAGAGGGACCCGTGGAAAGGGAAGAGAACGCGGAAGAGTGTTGGATATCTTTAAGACTGGGTCGCTCGGTCGCACTGCTGTTGCACTATTTCGCCATAGCGAGTCGCGCTGGCCGCAAGCTACTTTTCCCCGGCCCGTTCATGCCTTGAGGAGGTTCAAGAAGTTTTAGCTACCCCATTAATCTTTTATCGAAAAACTCCTCGAATCTTGTCATTTTTGACGCACTAGGGATTCGTATTAGGGACCATGGTATTCTAGGAAAAAGTAATTTTTGGCGCGAAAGTTGAAAATAACTGAAGTATTCGACGAGAAGAGATAAACGCGAAACTTGGATGATCCGCGTTAGTTCGAAGAATTCGATACTTTCAAAAAGACTTTCAATATTCGATAAGCCAACGATTTGGTTCAACGATCCTCGCAATCTCGACACACTATTTCTGGCACGAACGTTGCAAATAGCAACTAAATGATTCCAAAATGATTACCGATAATTTCGCCCCAAAACCCCCGGAATTTTCCAATTTTCGACGCGATGGCGATTCGTTCCGGCGCGAACCGAGCAGATTATTCGGCGGGAGAAGAGATCGACGAGAAAATTGAGTGGCTCGCGTTGGCCCAGATTCGTCGGGTACGTTGCTCGCCCCCCGCCACGACACTTTTCGTGCACGCGTCACTGACCTGAGTTCAGTTTTACGGCACGAGAGATCCTCGTTGCCGCAATCACGTGGCCGCGATAAACGCGCGATAAAAGACACGGCATCCCGGCGGGACCGCGTTCGAATAAGCGGCTTGATCCACGAAACCCTTCTTTCGAATCTGATCCCGGTGTACCTTCTGACTTATGCATCCCTAGACGCGTCGGCCTACCCTAATCTCGCCTGCCGCGTATCTTTCGCGATGCTTGCTCGTGATACCTTCTTACCTGAACGCTTCATCACTGCTCGGGGGGGACCTCTTTTCAATCGTCCGATTTTTCGTCTACCGAAACTTCGTGTGCGATTGATGATTTTTCGATCATCCCTCTAGATGTCAGCAGGTTTAGAGTATAGATTCGAGGCATAGGTATATCTTGATAGTGGAACTACGAAAAATTGGGAACTTTTCGTTCTTTTTCTTACCCGTTACCCGGTAAATCTCCCTGGCGGGACAATCAACGGTGGAGGTGCGCGGCCGACTCTTTTTCCGGAGGGTTGAAACCAGGCGACCGGTGCATTAACCCTCCGGTCGTCGACCCCCGAGCCAGTTACGTCACACGGCTGTTCCCACCTCTCCTTCCTCACGATGCCCCCTCCCCTCCCTGGGACAC